CCTTTCTTGTGGCATTGAAGTAGGGAAGTTATTGTGGTAAAGCAGTTATGGATTTCAGAGGCGCTGCCTACAGAAAGGCATATTAGGAAATAAGATTCCTGCTTAGAAATGACTGGTATTAGGTTTATACCTGCGAAAACAGGGAAATAAACTATAAAAGCCTCATGCATATAACTCCTAACACGGAGTCAACTACTACCTTTTAGTAGAGTCAATCAACCGGCAGCTTGTTTGATCCTCCTTCTCTATTCAGAGAGAGGATATACTATTTTTGAGATACAGGAGGAAAACTTTAAATCGTAGTACGTAATATAAACCTACACTTAATTAAAAAAGTGATAATTGAGTTTAAGGTAGTTTATATGTCTTAACGAAGGTTACAAATTTAGTAGCTCAAATAAGATTCTGGAAGAAAGTTGTTCAGTTACAAAATAATTGAGAAAAGGCGCCGGTATTTTCAGGGTTCGATTTCTAGAGAAATTTGAAAGCATTTGGGGTAAGGGTTAATGCTTTGCTAATTTTATGTTTCTAAGGTGAGTTATTTCGTTAATATGCGAAATATTACTCTGTTCTTGGAACGGTAAAAGTTTCTCATCAGAATATATGAGTGCTTTAAGATGAATAAATACAATAAAGAATTCATGACAAAAAATGTCGTATAGTGTTTAAGTTATTTAAGTTTGTCCCCATGAATTCACCCACTTGAGAACAGTTAGCTGTTCCATACAGGAAGAGTTGAGGTAAATAAAGTGCACTGCCAAATTCGAAATATAATTACAGGAAGCACAATAGACGAAACTGGTTTATAGCCAATAATTTTCATGCTAAAAATATTCTTATAATTATAAAAAGGAAACTATAATAATGTTAAACATAAAATTCTTCTGATTTTTCTTGAAAATATTACTCTTAATTTAAATAAAAATTAATTAATATTTGCAATACCTATATTTATTCATATTAATGTTAAAATATTGTGTTTACGTTATGCAAAACTCTTCATTATTATAATTTTTTTCCTGAAATACCATTCTTAAACTTCTAACAGATTATTTTACTTTTATACAAATCAAGCAGTTGCATATTTTAAAGTTACTTTTACACAAATCAAAAAATATTCCATTAAGTAATTAAGTGTTTTCCTACGTAATTTCTTCTGACTTCAGAGAAATATTTACTCAAACCCGGAAAAAGTTTTACTATTTTTCTCGCAGAATCAGCTATATTATTACACATTTTTACTTCTGAAACTTCAATACATTTCTTCTAGTTTTAGACATTCTTTCCCGAATTTTCAAGCTCTTTGGATTATTATATAAATATTTCTTTTGATCGCTTGGAGATACTTATCTTTTTCAAATTTCCTCATTCTTTTAAAACTTAATTTTTACTTCTGAAATTTTGCCTCATAAATATATCGTTTATCGCAGCTGTTTCCACTTTTGAATCTCCAACAACTATCCCACTTCCAAATTTGAATACCAAGAAATTACTCTTTTTCTCGCAAATTTCGGACTTTTTATAAAGTATCTCGTTAACTTTAACTAAAACCTTAAATTTGCTTTACTTTTTTAAATAAGTTTAATCTAAGAATATAATGGATGCACGTAATTCCCTTTTAGATTTTAAAATTTTTCTTCCATTTTTTTTTTTTTTTTTTTTTTTTTTTTTTGTAAAATATGTCTTTACCGCAAAAAAATTTAAGGAATTTTAATACTATATTTTCTTTTTATATGCACCAGTGATGATGGGAGAAGAATAAAATTTTAGAAATCATTTTATGATAATATTATTATTTATTATTTTATAACTGAATAAATTTTAACCGAATAATTGGAAAATGTCCCTCTCTTTCTTTCCTTCTTATATATATATATATATAGAGAGAGAGAGAGAGAGAGGAAGAGTTTCTTAAAGAGTTCCGGCTACTATCTTTTGAAATGTTTTGTAAATATATAATTCCTTCAATACAATATTCATTGGGTGTAGCCGTTAGCACATATAAATAGAAAGTCTGGGGTTTTTTAGAGAAAAGCACGACAAATGTTTTTGAAAATTCATGCATCTTCCTTTCAAACATCAGCGAGTCTTTAATAGGCTGTGAGTACAATTCCTCAATGCCTAGAAGTACACATCTGATAGAAATATTCGAGGAATATTATTAAAAAGTGAAAATGATGCACATTTCTTCTTTTCAACATGAGAATATATGCAATTTTAGAAAATTTAGTTTCTAAAATATCATTATCTAAATTCTATTATCTAAACTTGGCTTTGAATTCCTGATCAAGAGATACTGCTAATCCAACACCAAACTTCTTAGCAAAATAAAAATAAATACATGGAAAAATTTGGCCTGAACCTGCGGTGGGAATATACGAGTTTTAATTGCAGTCATTAACTTTCTAAATATTTTTTCAATTATTTCATTTACTTAATTTTAAGACATATTTTAATACATATGCAATATACAATGCACAATACATTAATAAAAATACATTTTCACATACGTATACAATACTTTAATACACAGACATATTTTCATTGCAGAATTCCTCATCCCTTTTTTTCCTAAAGTAAACGTCAATGAACCTACTGAACTGTTTAGAGACTTATCGTTGAGTTCAAATAACTAAGGATAGAGACTCAAGAAGGGTTAAAATACCCTTTATTTCACTCAAATAAGAATAAAAGTTGATCTCTTTCTTGGGCTTACAACAAAGCCTCCACTCGCGCTTAAACTCAGAATAAGAAATAAGAACCAAACTATAACTAAGTAAAGGAGACTTAGCCGAAGCTAACACAGATATATAACGTAGTCGTCCCTTAATTTAAATTAGGCGACGAATATCAAAAGACACGCAATAATGCGGCCGAGCGTAGCAGCTTCAAGAAAGAGCTTGTACCCGAAGGCAAACAACGCGTTACTCAGGATTCCTAACGCTTTCTCTCGAACTAAGTTGAACTTTCCTTAAATACTTCTTTTAACTCATTTGCATTCAACACGATTATAAAAACTCATTCTGGTAGGGAGTTGTAAGTGGAAACAAGAATTGATAGGAAGTGTAAAATTAAAATAACTGTTATAAAATTTAAATATACCTTACAATATTATGCCACCATTATGCCAACATTATTTCAACATTTTACATTGAAAGGCTACGTTAACTTACTCTCATGTAATTAGTTTCGATAATGCGCGTTTCATGATAATTATGATGAGTAATAAGAGTATTTTTGTTTATCTCGTACTTAAAAGACATTGTTGCTAAATAAATTGCACGCCATTAAATAAGAACAACAATGATTAACTAAGCCATTATCTAACAAATGAATGAATCAGCTTTTGCATAACTATGTTTAATATAGGTTAAACAAAAAGTTTATTTATATAAGAGGAGATAAATTTCTAACATAAAAATATGCCTGGCAATGTATTTTTTAAATGTGCTGTTTTTCTTTATGTAAGCTAATTGTATTGATTAATTCATTTGTATAGACACTAACTAAACAGAACTAAGAAACAATCTTAATATTGGACATTAGATTTTCTAAGATTACGAATTAAGAAATTTATGTCATGATTTTTTTTCTATTTCTTAGTATAAAATTCTAGGAAGAAATATATAGAGTAAGGCCTCGATTATCCGAGTTTTGATTAACCGATATTGCGTGTTATCCAAACCCAGTCGAATAAATAAAAAACGTCGTTAAAATACCCTCGCTCAAAAGGTAAGCACGCTGTAGACTTAGGTTTTAGCAATATTTCGTATCGTGAAGATGAGACTCCCATCGTTACCACATTTGAGTTCGGTAGCCTAGTTTCTAGCGCGATTTGAGTGAAAAATCAGTTAGTTTTTTAGTTTTCGCAGCTACAGAGGCAGTCACGGATGAAGATATGAATGAATAACTAGATGCAATATGATTAAAAATTTGAACTTTCTGATGATGCCATTTTAAATTTACTCACATACTATGAACGTTCTGATGACGAAGACATGGGAATTATTTTGATCAAGGTCAAAGATACAAGCGATTAGATCGAAAAGGCACTGTTCTGTGCTAAACGGCAAGAAGACAAGTCACCAACCGACATTCTGATATTGCGATGTCTACTCAGTTCTGCAGCAAGAAAACAAGTCTACACAATGAAACTGATAGTTGTTACTGATTTTTTTTTTTAAAATGTGTGATATGCTATGTATACTTTGCAACACCTCATCTGCATTAAACGTGCTTGTTTTCAAGTTTATCTGTATATTTGAGTTTTTGTATTATGTTTTATATTGTTGTGTACCGGTATGAATCATGTCTGCTAATGTATTCCTTATAGTATGTAAATAATTAAAATTTTCTTTGTATTAATAAGTGCTATCCGAGTTAGCCTCGGTCCATATTAACTCGAATAATCGGGGTTCTACCATGCATATATTCGCATTTACGATAAACTTAGACTGGAATTAAGTTCTTAGACTGAAAGGGAATCAGGCAGCTCCTGTTTCCACGGTTTAAAATACTATGTTGCATTTTAAACAAGAATTAATTATATAGTTTTCACTTATATTATTATATTACCCACGTATTTTATTAAGTGTTCTTTCCCAAAAAACGCACGTTATTATTGAGCTATTAAAACAATAATAATTTTGACTTATACTTGGGTGGAAAATTTGAGGAACATTAATATGTATAACGAAACTGTTATATAAACATATAGCTTTGGATCATAATCATTTAAATGATTTCATCACATTTAGAAATTTAAAATGCACCATTTCTATTTATTTTCCTGAATTCATTATTGTAGTATTTCTAAAGAAAAAGAATTAAATTGATTTTTTAATATCATAATTCAACGGATAGAAGCTAAGTAACTTTTTTGTGATATAAAATATAAATATGAATTTGAAATGCTTTTCACACTCAAATGTTTTCTAATAAAGTAATTTGTTCAGTTCATGCTAAGATATTTCAATCATTAATGGAAGTTTTATTTTTAGCTATCCAAATCAGGAAGCCAAAGTGTCTATTTGCGACATGTCGATCTGAACAGTGCTGGTGTCTATAGATGTGAGGTATCAGCAGAAGCACCCGAATTTCAAACTGTAGAAGCTGAGAAAGAAATGAAAGTATTAGGTAAGAATGACATATATGCAATAAAATAAGAATAAGTAAATGGTCAATGCGAAACCTGAATTCTAAAGACCCTTTTGATTTTATTTATGTCAATATTAAAATACTCTGTTATCATAAAGAATTCTATTTTTTCTTATAATGTAGCAGAATTTTTTTCATTCGATAAAATGGCTGAACCGAATTTGGTTAACACATTTTTTGCGAATAGCTGGTAGGACTTTTCCAAAAAAGATAGTATTTTGTAAATAATATAACATGTTCATAACATGTTTATAGCTATATGTTTTAATCTATATAAAGTTATTTCACTCACCAATAACCAAGCGAGAGTATCAAAGCGTGGTGTTTAGATCTTGTTCTAGTTCCGGCGAATGGGTCAGTTGTAAACCTATTTTCATGCTTTCCGAAGTGTGTATTACAAATACAAGTTAACTTCGTATAGCAAATATTCTTTCACTTAAGCAGGTAGATAATTCTTCTGTATTTTACCGCATTTAAATAATCAAATTAAAAAATATATGTTTGATTTAAAACAATAGAATTTTTTTCCTGCCACCACTTACGAGCTTTGCTAACCACTTATACCAGAAGAACACGATAATTCCTTATATTCTTCCCTACTCTGCGAAGCTACTGGCCAGGAGCTGTACCTAGGCAGTCTCGGCCACAGGGGGTATAAAATTTATGAACTTGGTGGTTCTGAAGACCCCGGAAAGGTCACTCATTGGCTGGCCCTGTGGTCTGGCACGTCCTAATGCCTAGCGCGGCGTGGTACTAGTAGCCCGGGAGGTAACTAACGACCAGTGCCGTCTGAGATTTTTTCCGGGTGGCGGGGGGACTTTTAGTGCGATGTAGTGCGAACAAGGAAGTGCTATATGTTGTTGTTATATTCCTCCCTACTGAAACGGATCTCAAGATAGGAATGAGGCTCAGTCAGTCAGGTGTGTATAGTGACGAATTATCATACACAATTTTTTAACTTTTTGTAGAGTTAATTAAGTTTACGTGAAATAGGAAAAGCGGAAAGTCAAATATAGCTTTGCTAGAATCAGGCCCCTGGATCTTTTAACTGCCATCTGGCTGTGAGAACACTTATATCGCAAGAGCATACACAGAGGAATGCGATAAATCTTCACATCCCTTTTTATTTAAGGTGCGAATGAAGAAGTTACGGAACTCTGTCGACCAAACTCAGGTGACGACAGTTTTCAACTACTAAATTTCTTATTTCAGATTCTGCGTAGAAGACTCTGAGGTGCTTCAAAGTCACAGAGCATGATAAATCAACTACTTCCTGGATGAGATTCCAATCACTAACCACCCAGTTGCTATAGTCCAGCGTTTATTAATGTTTTATATATATATATATATATAAAGTGAAATCGTTTTAATGCCCAGTTTTATCGTGGATCCTCTGGTTTGCATCAGTTGCATGGTTTTAATGAAGCATGGGCATTTTATGCTACAGAAATTGAGTTATTTCAGATTATATTTATTTCCTTCAAAGTGTAATTTCAGTGTTAACCTAAATTTCTTAAACATAAAACAACATATTCAAACAGGACTTTAAATTTTAATGAGATGACAGTTATTGCTCTTTACTACTAAATGAACTTAATATTAGACTTTATTGTTTAATATTGTATGTCATGTTCGGCATCAAGTTAATTGTGGAATTAATTTTTTTGTCGACAGATAAGCTGAGAACTCCGTTTCGTACTTAAATGTAGTTGTAAATAGTAAAAGTGCCAACATGACCTTTTGTGACTGTTGAGGATATTCACATTTTAAACTGCACCAAGATTTCACTAATGGCATTAATTCAAATTTTTCTTGCAAAGATTAATCATACTTTATTTCAGTGTAAGTTTCGTGTTCTTCTGCTCACATGGTCGAAGGTTACGATACTGATAATAAATGCATTTTTAATCCACAATTCATTCTGCTATTTAATCTCTTGTTCATTTGGAAAATACTAATTAAAAGATTCACTCAAACATTTAAAGGGCTGAATAATTTCTGAAGTACGTCTTCCCTATTTAACCCATCCCCAACTACTCTTCTGAAGAGCCTTATACTGTTGGGAAGAAATCAAAGGCGTTTGAGCGCACACAAATTTTTGAGAATTCTATATGCTTCGTGAAACTATTTCGAGAGCAGTGAATAATATTTACGTAGTTGCCTTCAAGTGTTATATTAAGTTCATTCATGCTTGTAAAATTTCAGTAAGGAGGCAATCTTAAGCAGCCAATTTCTATCAAATAATTCGACTTGTATTGTAGAAATATTAAGTTATTTTGAAGCGGGAAAGATGAAAAATGAGCAATGCCCTCGCCGGGTCTCGAACCAAGGACCTCTCGAATTCGCTTCGAGCGTACCCTACGAAGGCATGCTAAAAAGGCGGGAGAAATACCATATATACTCCCCCTTTTAAAGAGCGACTGGGGATTAGGGGGACGCAATCGCCAAATCCTGGTGGTGAAGAATCATCACACCACCTTTTAGTTTAGGCGCCACTGTAGAGACATTAGGTTATTTCGAAAAGATGAAAAATGAGCAACAAAAAAAGGTCGAACAAAAAACCTTTTTATCTCCAGCGCTTCGAACTGTGTATCAGGAATTCTAAAAATATGCTCATTTTAAAATTATTTTGCGACATTGCTATTGAACTAGATTTTATGGTTTAAGTGCAAAGAACATGATATTTAATAAATAAAGGTAACACACAAAAACGTTAAAGAAACGCCCCTTCGGACGTAATTTAAAATCTGAAACATTTAAGATTTTTTTATTAATTTTAATGGTTCTTGTTTATTTTTTTCTCGCCCCTCCCCCCACAAACGGGTAAATAAATAATCTTGCATTGTATACAGGCAACTTGCATTGTATACAGGGGCGCACATTTACCGCTTTGCCTCAGGTGAAAAAATATGTAGGAACGGCTCTGGCAAAAATACTTGTTAGTTTGGTAATTTTTAAAGATATTTTTAATACATTGCAAACTTTACTTGATGTAATTCATTAAATTACAAAATTAAGCACAAGGCACATCGAGATGGATTTCTTTCAGCATTAATATTTTTGAATACAATGAGATTATTAACTTACATTAAAAATTATATTTATCTTCAAAAATTGTGAAATCTAGAAAAAGGATAGTTAAAAGCAACTGAAGAAACTGATTCTCCGATTCACTGATTTAATACCATTATTCTTATTTAAACCGAGTTTTGTTCAAACAGGATTTTTCTAAGTTAACAACAGTAGAAAGCATAAGGTGTTCTAGAATTTTACTTATCTAAAAGTTGTCATATTACAAGAAAATGCTATGCTTAATCTGGAAAATGTCATGTATAATTATAAAAGCAATGCTTAAAATGAAAATGCGTATATCCATTTAAATATCGAAGACAAGAAAACGAAAATGGAAAATGGAGCTCAAGTCGTATTCGAATTAATAGATTAATTAGAATAGATTAATTAGAATAGAATGTTGATGAATGGCGATATTGAGAAAAGTTTATATTCATTGTTGGAGATTGTACGACTGTTTCATTAATTCGGACATCGCGTAAATGACCAGTGTACATACGGGGTAGTCGGTGATTCGGATCATTGTTTGACTATACAGTAAAAGTTGATTATCATATACGACAGCCTGCAGTTGGTCTCATATATTTTTGCGTGCATAGTATGTACAGAAAATAATGAGCCCTAAAACAGATATGTGAATGTATTCAGATTGTACAGAACATCTAAAGTAGCTAAAATAATGTTTATGTAGTGCAAATATCACTTTCGTTACTGCTCCATTTATTTGAATTGTACGCATACATAATGTATGTTACTTCTATAAATGTGCATCCATTGCGAATTAGTTCAAGAATTATCTCGTTTATCAACAGTTTTAATTATTAAAGTATTATTATTAATGCTCTTTAAATTCAGCTGCTTGTTTTGTATTAAATATTCGCATCCGACTTTTGTGTAACTTTTATATTCTGTATGCAATAATCGTTAATTAAATATTAGTATTGGCTAATATAGTGTTTACATTGGTTTTGTATGATACTGAGTGCAACAAATAAGTATTGTTTATATCATTTCATATATAACTTGCTTCTGTTTTATATGCATGGAATCTTAAATGCACTTGACTCATCTTAATACATTCGGATGATCATGGACTAGTCGCATGAATCTTCATTTAAACACAAACGCTTTGTTGAAAGCTAGAACCCATTAGAACAGAAAGATTCGTTTCGGAACTGATTCAGTTTACTGAGCAAATGAACAGTGATTCCAGAAAATGGAATGGTAGCTCTTTTATAGTTCCCGGAGAGCTCTTCTTGAAAGAGCGCCAGGAAAAGAGATGTACTATTTATTCAGGAACTGATTCACTTTACTCAGCAAACATTTGGTTCAAACTTCCCTTCCCCCCCAAAAAAAAATTGAAAAACTCTTTTAAAGTTTACTCACCGAGAATTCTTATTAAAAGCAATCCAAGAAAGTTCGCTTCCCACTTTAAGGGAGAAAATAATGTTTACTGTTCTATGTTAAAAAGAAATTTAATTATTATTATTTCCCAACATTTTTAAAATTTTATTCTACACTTTTATTATTAGTTCTGTGTAGAAATGAGGTTTTCAGAAATCTCCGAATCACAGTTAATATATGGGTAAATCAGTTCAGAGAGTTAGTCCTGGATTCAGTTCTTCTGATTCCACTTACTCGTTCGATTTAGCTCTGTTCTCGCTTGCCTTTCTTAATTCACTCCTCGTTTCGAATGTTTTTTTTTTTATCAAGGCTATTGTTAGTGAGCGGTATCCCAAGTGGGTTACGATGGATTCCTTCTTTTAACAACTGAGAGAAGTCGGCTACCAGCATTACAACGCAAAGCACAAGCTACCTCATGTGACACATCACGCAATTCCCGCATGGAATATTACAACGAAGCACTTGCTGATTATTTGAGACTGATTAAAGAGATTAAAGTAAGC